ATATGATGCTCTTGCCAACCTAGCATTTAGAAAGCAAGAAATTGCAAGTGGATAAATACCTTCAGTGGGAAGGTAACAGCGTTCCGTGCACCTTGGCATTTAGTCATGCCAGCCACATGACCACGGAAACGTCTTCGGACAGCGCTGGCTCTTTGGCTTGGAAATGGAGATGAGCACTGCAACCCTAGAATCAGACTCGACTGGCTTTTACAGGATGAAAATATGTAAAAAGCAGAGCAAGTCAGAGCAAAATTTCCACCTTTGTCTGCACAGCATTTGCATCAAAACAAGGGAACATCCCTCCTTGGATACAGAGACAGAACATGAACATGTTTGTTTGCATATAAGAGAAAATGTGGGATGGGGGAATATACACACTTTCCATATGACACAGCAGACAGACTCCACTCACTGATTTCCACAGGTAAGTCTAGAGATGTGAAGGCCCAGAAAAAACCCGGAAAAATTGGTGAAAAAACCGCCCCCCGCGCCCCCCCCCCCGTTTTTTTCCTGAAGCCTTTTTTGTTTTTTCCAAAAATTGAAAAAAGAAAACAAAAAAAAATTGATGATGGAACATTTTATTACATGATGAATAAAATATTTTAAGACAAGGTGTTCAAATATTTTCCAAATCATTTCTAAAAAATATGTATGATATCAGATTGATCTAATTTCTGTGCACTGAAGACAAGCAAGTCCTAGGTTACAAACTGAACTCTCCAATGCAAGAACAAGATGCATTTCTTCCTTTAGGAAAAGAAAAAGGTTTCAGTTTTGTTTTTGCATGTGGGTGGGTAATCTGTTTGTAATAACTATTTGGATACACTATATTTTTAATATGCTAGTTGTGATAATTTCATGCCAAGTAAAGATGTCCATAGTCATATTTTATGTTCCTAAAGTAACAGAATGACTTTCAATCTCGAAAAGAAAAAAGAAGTGCTAATGTAGCATTTTTTCTCATTTTTTCCGAAAATTTTCGGTTTTCCCCGGAAACAAACAGAAAAAAAGGGGGTTTTCCCGAGCTTCAAAATTTCTGGAAATTTTACATCTCTAAGTAAGTCACACAATTAATTTCTGACACAGATACAGTATGTGCGCAGGAAGCTTCATGGACCTCACCCATGCGGTCTCATGGGACATACTTGTTTCACCACATACACATGTCCAGAAAGGCTGCTGCCAATGTGTGCTTTCAGCAGTGCAGCTCTAATGCACATTTTTAATGCTTGTGGTACAAAAGCCCATCTACACTGATGTCATGAGCCCATGGAGCAAAAATATGAATGTGATTCATTCTCCATGAGACAGAAGAAGTTCATGACCACATCAAGGACCATCAGTGCTTTTGTGCATTTCATCTTTAACTGCAACTTGCAAGCAGTGAGCTGAAAGACTACCAGCTGTCATCACTCGTATTATACAGGAAAAAATGAACAAAAAAAAGGGGGGGGGGAGAATTCAGCCCAGAACAAACCAGGTAACCTAAGAGGTTGAAAAAAGAAGAAAAATTCCAACAAAAAGCTAAATTTCTATTCAATAAAAAGATGTTTACTCAAATTGTGAATATTAAAAACTGTCCATAAAAATCCATCAATGGTCATTACATACATGGAGTCCTCACCTGGGTAGCCCAGGCTAGCCCGATTCTGTCAGATCTCAGAAGCTGAGCAGTCAGCCTTGGCTAGTATCTGGAAGGGTGACCCCTAAGGAATACCAGGGCTGCAACACAGAGGCGGCAATGGCAAACCACCTCTGAAACATCTCTTGCCTTAAAAACAAGTCTAGCTCACCAGCTAATGGTGCATAGTGCTAAAAGAGCTAGAACTTCTGGCTGCCAAACAATCTTATGGTCTCCTGACTATTCCACACACAACATGCCATACGATTATTAATTACCTATATATACATATATAGAGGAAGGAGCTGCGGTGGCTCAAGTGGTTAAGACGCTGAACTGCAGGCTGTGGAAGGTCAGTAGTTCAGCAGTTCGAGACCCAGGTGCCGCATGACGGAGTGAGCTCCCGTCTCTAGTTCCAGCTCCTGCCAACCTAGCAGTTCGAAAGCAAGAAGTTGCAAGTAGATAAATAGGTACCGCTTCGGTGGGAAGGTAACAGCGTTCCGTGCACCTTGGTGTTTAGTCATGCCGGCCACATGACCACGGAAACGTCTTCAGACAGCGCTGGCTCTTCAGCTTTGAAACGGAGATGAGCACCGCAACCCTAGAGTCGGACTCGACTGGCTTTCGAGCAAGGGAACCTTTACCTTTACATATATAGAGGTGCCTTACCCTACTGCGAAAAAACAACCACACACCAAAAACTTTTTTTGGTAAAATTATACTTATATACACGGGGATGTCACACATTTACAAACATCTTTCCTACACCAGGTACAGTTAATAATAGCATTTCCCCCGGGAGAGGTACGGTGGGCGGGGCACATGACGAAGCCCCGCCCCCTGCTTCCAGCCCTCATTCAGCCAGGAGGAGGCAGGAGAAGAGGGAGGGTAAGTTGCTTCCTCCCTGCCTCTCCCCACCCCTGCCTGCCTGGGGCCAGGGAGGGCCTTCGCAGGGCTTCCTTGCACTCCCGCCGACCTTGCATGTCCACCGCCAGGCCCCTTGTGGGGCTCGGCAGTGGAGCCAAATGCATTTCAGCCATGAGGCCTTCCTCAGTGGTTTAAAACTGTACCACACAAATTTGGATGCATCTGGTTTCCTGGACATGGCTACACACATCATTGGGCAATGCTCTATCTCACCCAGTTTATAATTTTGGACCACTAACAACTACCATCTGGAAAATTATCTCTCACAGTCCTAACTAATTATAACAATGAAGAGAGATACCCATTCCATGCAAAAGTTTTTATAGATGGTAGATGAGAGTAATTTATATATATTTAGTAAATTACCTTAAAATTATATTTTGCTTTTAATTTTTATAAAATACCAACACAATAATTAACCTAAACCATTTGATTTCTTTTTTATTTTTTAGGATGTTCAGTGCTTTGGTCAGGCATGTTGTAATTTTAACACATTTAACCCACTGAGTTTCCTCACAGCCAAAAGACATTTGGTGTATTTTTATGGATTTTAATGCATCATTTTGAATACTTACGATTAAAGATTGATCTAACATGAGTTTAGCTTTTTTGGAACTGACCTTGATATTTCTACATACAAGGTTTTTATTCCACCACCCCCCAACCTCTTTGAAGATAGATCAAGATGGGTAGCAATGTTAGTATGTCTGTAGCAGTAGAAAAAAAAGCAAGAGTCCAGTACCACCTTAAAGACTAACAAAAGTTGTGGCAGGGTACAAGCGTCCAAGAGTCACTGCTCACTTCTTCGGATACAGAAGAGATATCTGAAGAAGTGAGCAGTGACTCACAAAAGTTCATACCTATTCAACCTCTTTGGTAACCTAACACTGGTACTATGTTAGGTTTTGAGGGTGTGTCTGCTCTGGGCCAGTGCAAAGCCTCACAGAGAAAACACCCTTTCTGCCACTTTTTCCCTATCCCCCTTTTCATTTAAGTCATATATATGACTTTTATAGTGTGACGAGCAGGATGCCCATGGATTGACAGAGTGCCAGGAGGACACACATCGTGAGTAGGAGCAGTGTTTGCAGGAAGGTTCAGGTAGCCCGGTCTGAGATGTACCATGCCTGATCAGCATTGTTAAACTGGTCTTGCCCCACAGATTTTGATTTCCCCCCCCTACACCAGCTACATTTTCTTTTGATGGTAGTCCATGGATTACTTTGTGAGTACATAGATCTATTACTTCTTTAATATGATTCTAGGACACATCTGCTCGTTACTTTTAGTATTTTTCTCCTCTCTCTCTTATGATATTTTGTTTAACTTGTCCCTTTTCAAAATAGGTCACAGTATTTTAAAAGCAGATGAAAACCAAGGGTAACCCCCTCATTAAATGAATTACAGGAATCTACCCTGACTGTTAACACAGCCATGGGTAAAGACCCTGTTACTAGGTCCAAATGTGTAATTCAACAGGAGGGCCACGGGGTTAAAAACTGGCTCAAATGTATCTTCTCAAATCCATCAATAATGGATCTTCTTACATACTGCTAGATGCTCCTGTCCTTCCTTCACTTACCACCAAGTTATTTTCCTGTATGAACTGGCCACTAGACAAGGAAAGTAATGCATTTTTATTCTATCAAGACGAACCAATTAAACCTGAGGATTAATTTTTTTCTGAACCATGAAGTTTAAAATCTGAACTACAATCTTGTCATATTAAAAGTAGATGTGAAGCTTCCCGAATTTGTTTTATTGTACGTAATAACTGCATACTGAATCTGAACCATGACATAGGAAAGGGGAGGAACTTTGGCAGATCACGAGAGGGAGGGCAGGAAGGGTTGCATCAGTGCTTAGTTCTCATGGCCTTTTCTTACACGCTTAGGGAAATGCTGATCACCACTTTGGGGTCAGGAAGCAATTTTTCTCCAGGCCAGTTTGGCTGGAGATCCTGGAGCTTTTTTGTCATCTTCTGGGCATGGAACAGTGGTCAGAGGGGATGTGGGGAGGGGAGGTATTTGTGAATTTCCTGCATTGTGCAGGGGGTTGAACTACATGATCCTGGAGGTCCCTTCCAGCTTTATGACTCTATGATTCTAAGAGGGGAAAGCTATAACGGAAGATGCATATTTGACAAGTACTTAGTGTAAGTACTAATGAAATTATAAATGATATAGCCAGATATTTAAGAAATGTGAGAACTAACATTCAGTTACCATATTAAGAAATCAGTATTTTAAATAGTGAAAGATTTTGCTTAAGTGAGGTCATGCAAAGCAAATGAAGCAGCTAGCCTTATTAAAAATCAACTGGTATTCTACCACCAACTTCAATGAGAAACAGTTAGCCTAGTGAGAATCATCAATCTGGAGTAATTAGTCACAATTACCAGTATTATCCCTGGTCAGCATTCAAAGTATTATAGCAAACATAAGAGAATTACCTCGTCTTCGCCCATAACTCCTTGCTGCATGTAAACAAAGGACAAATTGTAAAATGTCAAAAAACTATTCACCATTATGAGAACACAGTTATCAAGTAAGAGACCTGTGTGTGTTCTGGACAAACAGCCCACATTAGCAAATTGCTACTGACGTGCAGTTCTGTTTTCATTTTACAAAGACTATTTAAATAAAAAAATATATTTTCGACCATCGTTTTAAATGTGGTATTTTCTAATGAACTGTTAAGCCTGTTGACATCGGCAGTAATAAATGCAATTTGTTTCACGCAAATATTTAAAACGTTTTGTCTCTTACACTTGTAGCTTTTAGACCTTGTGAAGGAACTTGCGCAAGATGGACAGCATTATTAACAGAAAGCTCTTCATTCTTAACAGTGCCGAAGACTTAAATGAATGTGAAAAGTGTCCTGGCTCTTGGGACATTTTGTCCTGTCCCCTACAGCGGCAATACAAATACTACAAGCCAAGATCTTCATTTGCCATGAAGACAGCTGGCAGAAAATTAACTCAAAGACTTTGTCTGGAACAAAAGCTTCTTTATGAGCACAGACTGGTCTTGTAGATTAAATAAGTGTGACAGGGTGGTTCTGGCCCAATTGGTTTCCCTCAGCAAGCTGAACTTCTTGCCATTTAAAAGCTGGCAGGATTGTGGATTCAACGGCCAATCTGCTCCCTCTTTACTGGGCAAAAAAATCACTCTGTGCCATTATCACACCTGCTCTCCCAGAACCGTAAATTCCTAGGAGTGTAGAGCACCCAGCCACGAGAGCAGCAAGACCGCGCTTGCAGGCCGGGATTCCCTGCTTTTAGCTGCTCTTGCCCCAACAGTTTGCCACACACACCTTACATACAGGATACTGCAAGGGCTGACTGTATGAATCACTCCTGTGGTTCTGTTCAGACATCCCATCAAACCAGGATTACGCTGAAACCATAATACATACAAGGTGCAGGGAAAGTATGGTTTGGGGACACGTGTCTGCTTTCATTTTCTGATTCATTCCCAGGATGGTGCAGCTGGCTCTGGAGGCAGAGTGATGGTTTGTCAATCCCTATGCTGAGCGCTGCTGAAAGAGTGGTGGTGCGGAGGCCCACCAGGTTTAGAGACAGCTCGCAGTGGGAAGGGAAGAGAGGAGGGGTGCAGTCAGGTCATGCTCTGCAGAAAGGGAAGGGGCTCTTGCCAAACGGAGCATGGCAGCTGGATTTCTGGACTCTTGCTTGGTACAAGTTATGGCTTGCAAGTGCACTTCAGAGCCACAGCTTCCATCTGCTTGTGGAGGACAAGACATTGTTATTATTCCCACACTACACAGAGGCTAGACGGGAGCCAGGTTTGTACAAATGAAGTAATTAACCTACCTTAATAATGATTTGGAACGATATCTAAACTGAACCTATATTTGTACAATATGTAAAGCTGGAATATGTAGCTTCTGCTTGTAGACAGACCCATGTTTTGTGACTACTACTTTAATTCAATGATCTGTCGACAGATATAACAAAGTTGCACTTACTATTGTTCATCGAGTATCTTCTGTGCAGGTAACACATGGGGGGACTGCACACAAGCAGGCCTGCCATTGGATAGGCCTTTACAGCTAGAAGCCTCCAGGGGGCGCTATGTGCCAGAGCCAGAAGCTTGGGACCATGTGCTCCTGCACAGAAGTGACCCCACCATCAACACCTCTAGTACCACCGAGGCCAGAGCATGCAGCGGGGCAGGAGAGAGGGTATGTGCGCCTGCACAGAAGATACTTGATGAACAACAGTTACAGGTAAGTGCAACTTTGTTTTCATCATCAATCTTCTGTGCAGTCCCACATGGGGACTCTAGCAAGCTACTCACCAGGTGGTGGGCCATGCTCCCCTCACTTGAACAGCAAATGAAGAACTGCCTTGCCCACTTGAGCCTCATGTCTCACCTGCCGATCCAAAGCATAGTGATGTACAAACATGTCTGTTGATGACCAGGTGGCTGCTCTTCAGATCTCCGTCAAAGACATTCTGTCCAGGAAACCTGTGGTAGAAGCCACTGCCCTAGTGGAATGGGCATGAATGTTCAATGGGCATGGCAATCTGGCCCTATCATAACACTCCTTAATGGTCCTGACAATCCATTGGGACAGGGTATGAGATGATGCTCTCCTACCTCTCTTAGGACCACTAAAACAAACGAAACTCCAAGGTTCGCTTAAGGCAAAATAATAATGCCTTCCTAACATCAACGAGCACTCATTCTCAGAGCTTGGTGCAAGAAAAAAGTCATGCAAAACAGTGTCTTGGGATAAATGGAACCTAGAAACTACCTTAGGAAAAAGCCTAAGACTGAAAATATTGCCATTTCAGGAAAGATCTTCAAAAACGGGGGATCTATCTGAAGAGCTGCTAGCTCACTCACCCTCCTGGCTGAGGTAACAGCTACTAAGAAACACATCTTCAAAGGAGGAGGAGGAAGAGAGCTGGTTTTATACCCCACCCTTTAATACCTGAAGGAGTCTCAGCAGCTTCCTTTCTTCTCTCCACAACAGACACCCTGTGAGGTAGGTGAGGCTGAGAGAACTCTGAGAGAACAGGTCTGAGAGAACTGTGACTGACCCAAGGTCACCCAGCTGGCTGCATGTGGAGGCGTGGGGAATCAACCCCAGTTCTCCAGATTAGAGTCCACCACTATTAACCACTACACCAAACTGGCTCTCAAATAACAGGTAGCAAGGGGTTCAAAAGGCTTGAGAATAATCTCTGCTAACACAACAGATAGATACCATTGGGGAGGGCAGAGATGACCAAACCCCTTAATAAACCTCTTCGACAAATGATTGGAGAAAACTAATCCTTCCTCAGTTCCTTTGTGATAGCAAGAGATGGCAGCCATACTGTGCCATACAAATCATCTGTTCTCCAAGCATTCGGAAATCCACTGTGGGAGATGCCAGAGATGGCTCGCTTATCCTCACATCTAGGCTCATATCTGATGTTGTGTCAGATTCATCGAATTCAATAGTTGTTTCTTCATCTCTCACTGCAGAAACAGGAAAACGCAGCCTGTACGACATGATCGCTGAAGGCGGATATGAAGACACCCAATGAAGGTAATGATATAAACTTGCATCCCCGGGGCTTGCGATGTTGTTACCCCATTCCTCAAAATATCCTGGAGACATCATGTAGGGACACAAAGGCCACAAAAGCTGTTTGGGGCTGAGACCCCCAGAACTGTGGCCATTTGTTCTAGATAAGACTCATGTGGAACTTGGCCATGAGGTAAGCCAGTATTCCCGTCCCCATTGGGGATGGAAACAGGTGGAGATCTGAGACCCAGAGATGGGGTCCTGGGCTTCTTTTGCAAGATTGGCGTTGGCTCAGGAGTGCAGATGGGAATGTTCTGCTGGGAAGCCGATTTACACTTTTCCTTTGTCTTGCCTTTAGCCTTCTTAGCTGGAGGCTCAGAAAAGGTGCTATGAACTTGAGGGGAGTGTGATCAAGATTGGATCCGCTGGGACATAGATCTGGGAGGTGGAGCCGAACACGACGACTCCAAAAACACAGAAATAAGAGCTTTCTCTGGGGTCAACTTGGACGAGGGCTCCAAGGTTTTAAGGGCTTTCTCCTACAACTCTGCCCTAAGTTTCAACACTGTTACCCCCTCCCCCATGTTTTAGGGGTGGAGTGTTGGCAGCCGTTACATGTGGAGACACTATGCCCTTCACCCAAACAAAACAAAGGTCATGTTTGTCAGTTTGGGTCATCCTTGCTCCAAATCAGGAGCACTTTTTGAAAAGGGCCTTCTGAGCCATGGAAGGGACTCAGCTGATGTAGCTTCAACAACTCTGGACAAAAAATCCTCTCAGCTGTAGCTGGAGACTCCATAAACGCGACCTTCTCCTTTTGTGGCAAAAAAGGAACTGAGGGTAGGGGGCTCTGCCACGCAGGAGCACATGGTCCCTGGGCAGGAACAAGCTTCTGGTTCTGGTGTGCAGCACCCCCTGGAGGCTTCTAGCTGATGGCTAGATGGCTAAAAAAACTTGTTTTGCAATGAATAAGGAAACTTCTTTTTCGTATTTTTCTGTACTAAGTATACAACAAAAACTGATGATCAGTTTTCACACTTTGCATAATTAATTTTTCCAAAAATGTAAATCTTTAACTAAAATTCCGCAGTTGCAGCCACTCATTTTAGTTCAAATCACCTCTAAGAATATTCCAATTGTATGAATTATACAAAATTCAAACAGTCATCTTTTCTGGGTAAATTTTAAGGGTATTCTTTCCATGCTGTTTCTGGTTTTTTTTCAGATTTACAGTCTGCTTCTCTAAAGACCTGCTTGAGAAGGCTGAAAAAGTAAGTCTTTCCCCCCAACCCCTGCTTTCTCCTCCCCATGAAAGCCGCCAAAGATTGGAAACAGCTGGGCCACGGGGACAGCCTGCTCCCACAGTTCAGCTGTTTAGAGCCCGAAACAACTGAGATGTGGGAGCAGGCTGTGGGAGCATGTTTTGGGCATGAACCTCATAAACCCAGTTTGGTTCATATGCGTGCTAAACTGGGTTTGTGGTTCATGCCCATCCCTATTCAGGACCTTTAAAATCTAGCAACTTTGTAATAAATGGACTCATGCTTAAAGCTAAGTGTGCCCACTTTAAAATGGCTGGGGAAACTTTCCACCACGAAAGAACCTGAAAGCTGTTCCCTTGAAGGGAAATGTGTGTCTCATGAGAAGTATAAATCTTACAGTAACAATTTCCCTTCTAGAAAGCAAGCAGTGGTAGAAACCACATTCACTAAAAGATTAGAACAAGTGTACATTTATAAAACATCAAAATAGCCAGAAAAGGTTCATGCATAAAATCTCCATGGGAAATAACATGTTTGAAATAAGATTTCCAGGTGAAGTCTTTGTATAAAAACAACATCTACTCTAATGTATATTAATAGCATCCCTCGGGCACAAACAGTAGTGTAATCCAATGCACTCTGACTTTTACACCAAAACAGCTCTAAAATCTTC